GTATTTAAAGTACCGGTTAAACCTGATCATAGGACAAACTGGTTTTTCAAATTAGTTTAGGCAAAACTAGTTTGTCCTAAGATCGGATTTGGCCGGTAACATATATGTACATACATATGTCGTGTACATCTTTATGTGTTGTATTCTAAAGTTCAGAAAATACATTTTAATCAACTGTTAATATATACCAGCTATATATAGTACATTTAGTACAAACCTCAAACCTTTCTGACCCAGTGCCTTATTAAACAAAAACAAAATAAAAAAATTAAAGATAAATATAAATGAGTATGTAGTATATATCTATATTCAAAACATATACATATATGCACATATGTATATACATATTCCTTTATCGCGTTGCTTAAATAATAATATTTGTAATTATATATGCGAGTCACAAATTATATTGTTTTTGATTTGCCATATTTTTTTATTTATTGCTATGTTATGAAATAAAAATGTGCATAATCCCACGTTTGTGCGTTCTTAAATTTTTTATTCTTGTTTGGTGCTTATAATCGAGGAAGCAAATTATTTAGAAGTCCCAAGTGAACCAAAGTCCTTCTACTGGTCTTTTATTTATTTATTTGATTAAGTCTATGTTATCACAATACCTTATAGACTATGTAGATAGCAATTCAGTGTTATGAGTAATGCATGAGTAAAACACTTTTAAATTCAGGACGATTAGCAAAAATATCTACATTCTTAAGTCTACTTAGTAAATTAAATTCATTTAACGACCTTGTCATTGGCTCATTCTATGTAAGCATAATTTGTTTTGCATAGTTCTACATATAATAGGTCTGGGTCTGGTGACGAAGGAACTTACATGGAGTATTGAGTTTTATTAGGGGTAATATTGATGGACAGTCAATGACCCCATTAAGGACGTCGTGAAACGTCGTTCATGAAACTTTTCTTCTGCTATTAAGAGTGCGTAAATCGATCAGTTTACAGCGCGAAGCATATGATGGAATTCGTAACTCAAACTTTATACGACACAAAATTAAATTATACCTCCATTTACCGCCGTCTGCGATAGCGGGTTGTTGGATACAGTAGGTTTATAGGAAGGTCTGGCACACGTTTGTGACAAGTGGTCTCGGGATTACGGCTACCTGTAAAGTATGAGGTTATATTTTTTTACAGTGTACGTGTGAAAGTCTTTACCGACTTTAAGAGAGAAAATATTAGCTTCAGTGAAATAAATACTCAGAGGGCGGTAAGTACATATATTTAGGCTTGTTTGAACATAATAAATTTGAGCATAAAGGCCAAGTATTGAGCCATGTTTCAAAGAATTTCACGCCCAAAATAAGCCTTAACGGTACTGTGTTTTCACCTGGACTTAATTTTATGTAAGCTTTTATTTTTGAATAAAACTGAGTTAGATAAACCCTGAAGTTTAGACTTAATTTTATGTAAGCTTTGTATTTTTGAATAAAACTGAGTTAGATAAACCCTGAAGTTTAGCCCGTAAATTTTCATTTCATTTTTCATTTCATTTCATTTATTAATAAAATCATTAGCACAATAAGATCAAAAGAATGATCTTTTATAGCACCCTTTTCTATACCAAAAAATATCTCTATAGACCAGCGTCACAAATATGTGTCAGGCTTAAAACAAAGTAATTGTGAATTTGATTTTCTGAGATACCCACTGACAACCAAAACCCACAACACTAGACCGTGTGGTCGCCTGGGACTAGCAGGACGCAATGGATGAAGCTACATACCTGCTAGAATACCGCACTACGAACAGCGACCGGATGCCTCTTGACGACGCCCCAACACCACCTACACGACGAGTCGGGGAGCACAACACAATGCTATGCAAGCAGTTTCTTGTGGGGAGCGCGACACGTGGTCATCTTAGCAAACAGCTGCTTGCTGAGAGGTTTATTAAACAACCTCTGGACCCGTCAGCCTACCGATAGGCCCTGAACGGCATTCACAGGGAATCAGTCTCGAGTTATGTGGACTCCCGCCCTGTGAATGCCGTTCTATGCACACAACCACCGCACGTGGACGGGACAGAACTTTGTCTGCCTCGGGAGACCCACACCACAATAGCCCAACTTCGCTCTGGCTATTGCAGCAGGCTAAACTCATACCTGAGCAGAATTAATGAGGAAGTGCCCAACCAATGCCCGGCATGTGGAGAGTCTCCACATGACTCTGCACCTCTTCACACGCCCTGAGAATCCAACCAAGCTGACGCCCCCGTTCTATATACACAGACCCTGTTGAAGTCGCACACTTCCTGGGCCTTCCCTTAGCTGAAACGGACGACAACGTTGACGGATGTACCGACCCGAGCGGGGCTTAGTAGCCGCTACAGCAACAACAATTAACTTTATTCCAATTAACTAATTCTTTGTCACCAAATAGGCCCGGCAACAAATAGGGAAAACCCCACTCAATTCAAATAGGGCCGGCAACAAAAATTATTTGGTGGGAAGGTGTAGCGGTCAATACCACTGACAAGGGTTTAACTATCGATTTTCATATTTACAGTGCTTAGTTAGCAAGAGTTTAAACACACATAGTTTATAGCGGCATCTAGCCTTGAGTACTGGAGCTATTATTGACCCGATTATATTGGTCGATAGGAAGTGCGTTACGGAGCTCGATGGTATGCATTAGTCAAAAAAATTAGAACTTTGAGTTGTCTCACTTTAGGTCTAGGAGTGCGAAATGTCCATCAAAATTTGAAACTGTTTGCTCAGATTTTTTTTAAATTTAATTAAAAGCCAGTGCAAGTTTGCAGTAGCTAGGACTTACCGTTGAATTATTTACGTTACAACAATAATTTCATCATGATTTTAATATCTACGGTTACTGTTTTTACTACTATGAGTATAACTAGGAAATTAAGTTTCGAATGAACTATTCACACTGCAGGTAAATTTTAAACTTTTGGAATATCACAGCTCAGCGAACAAACACGTAAATTTAATTTTCGTAATCGACGATGCTGTTCTCAGAAAATCCATACCACGTCAAAATTTTGAGATATTTAGGAGGGAAGTTTTAGAGCTCTGACGGTGAAATTTGAACTGTTTTTCTGAGCAAAGGTTTTGCTAGCTGATCTAACTTAATTGGACCTTCTTAGTTCAATTGGGTCCCCATTTAGCCAGATTGTGTCCAGTTTTTGCGATAACGTTACTTGAAATTTTGCTTAAGTGTTAACTTTTTT